GTCGCAGAAGTTGCAGCACTGAAAAAGTTCATAATCCACTCGGTCAGAGCAGAAATATGAGTTGGTAGAAGAAAACGCGGAAAGATAGAATACTCACCCAGAGGCAACATGAACATCCATCTTGATCTTGGGCAAGGTCTTCCGAGGCTTCGAAGGGGCGACCTTCTCCGTTGGCTCCGGAGTCGAAGTACGAGTGCGCTTGTGTGCTTGGGTACTCGGAGCCACGGTCTTGCCACGCCCGCCCGCTGGATCTTGGAGTTGTTTGGATCAATGCTCCGAGCAAGGTGGTGAGTCGACTACCTCTTCGTCTTCTGATTCATCACTTTCTTCCTCATCGTCATCTTCTGGAGATTGCCAGTCGCCGCTCTCTTCTGCGCTGTCCTCGCCCTCCTAGTCTTGCTCCAGAGCTTGTTCACCGTTGGGCATTGATTACATTTTAGTATAAACCTACAAGACGAGAAGCCAATTAAATATTAGTCAGATTCAGAAACAGTTGCAAGACAGACTGAAGTACACTTGATAGCGAAAATCAGACCTTGTCTGGCTGGTTGTTGGTGTCGAATGTATCGACTCTCCTGGCTCTCCTGGGGTTGTCCTTGTTTCCTGTAATGCCCTTCAGCCACAGGGCCACCGTCTCATACGTAACCTCCTCTGGGTGAACTCGGGCGGTGTCGTTGACTCCCAAATACATCCACATTGAGTAGTCACGAGCTTGGAGCGGCTGGATGCATCGACTAAGAAACACCTGCAATAGATCCATGCCAGTTACACCCCGACGGACCAACTGGACCACTCTCTCGACCAACATGTTCGTTTCCACCCTCTCCGCAGCAGTCACTTTCAGTGAGGAAGGTTGTTGGGCACGATCTAGGGAAAAAGGGGGAAGACCGGTCGACTAACCAGGAGTCGCAATATCCTAGCAATTGAACCAGGTCGATTGCCAACCCCTGACTGACTCGGGAAGTGTCATGGGAGGGAAAGCACTCCTCTTCCTCATCTGAATCCCTAGACCCCCGCACATCTGGATCACGTGCGTCCTCTCGTCACTCAAATTTGCTTTCTTCACAGCCTGGGAGCGAACTGCGAAGATGTGTTTGAAGAGACCCCAGTGCGGTCGACAACCCAGGAAATTCTGACACATGGACACAAACGCGGCGAGGTACGTGATGGTGTTGGGGGAGAAGTGGTGGAGCTGAGCACCGAAAAAGTTCAAGAAGCCCCGGAAGAAAGGATGCGGAGGAAGAGAAAAGCCACGGTCGACATGGGTAGCAAGCAGGATACACTCACCCGACCGCGGCTGAGGCTCCGTCTCCCCCTCCGGCAATCTCGCGGCCCCGACAACGATCAAACCGGAGGTCGCCAGCTCTTCGAGATCCTCTTGCCGAAGCGAAGATCGGATCCAATATCCCTGGATCCAACCCAGCGACAGCGCAGACCTCGACGACGATCCCTGATTCGTCTTCTTGCCTTTCGCCGCACCCGTCACCTTTTTCGCGTGCTTCAGCACCACCGTCTTCTCCTTCACCATGGTGGCAGGCGGCGCGCTAGCGGGGCGGCGACGTCGAGAGCGGAGGAAGATGCAGCGGAGGCGGAGAAAGAAGAAGGGGATTGAGGGCGCATAGTGCAGACGCCTCGGCCCCGATGCCTTTTGAGGACCCACTTCCGAGTGGCTGACGAGTGGGCCCGTGCAATCTGTCAAATCCCGCAACAGTCGCACGCCGGATACTGTCTATCCGCCCCGCTTACTTCGGCACGCCCCGCCTCGCGCGCTTCCCCAAATTTTCGAATCCCATGAGATCCGAGATCCGCAGTAACCAATCGCGCCGAAGATTTCGCATCGAAGCAACACTCGACAAGTAACAACATGATTACACTCAACAACTTCTGAATCGATCAAGGCGACTGAAACGAAGCCGAAGCTTCAGCATAAGCCTCCAATCCAGCATGGATACTTGTGAAGCACGAGAGCCAAGGCTGGACCAACGTCAACCTTCTTTTCACTCGGTCCTCAATCCATTCGGGGGCTAAAGATGATGATATAGACCTAGGGTAGGGTCATATGCCTGACCTATACACCCCACCCAAGGTCACTACCCTAGAAGAAAAGACATTCAAAGAGCAGCAGAGGGTATCAATTGAGGTAGTCGAGTGCAATCCACTCGACCAATCATCTCACTCGGATACCCCTCGCTCCTACACTCGCTCGACTAAGACCCGGTCACTCGACTATACAGAAGACCACTCGACCCACAGGAGACCAGGAGTCACTAAGGACGGCAACGGTCAGGCGTTCACTCCGTAGTGTTTAAGGTCATTAAATACACTTTATAGCTGGCGTTACCAGTAACGCTCTGTCTTAATGTACATTGAACCCCTGTAATGGAGGTGGGCTGGGGTTCTGGCGTACTCTATATAAGCCACCCCCCTCCTCTGGGACAAGGATTCGCACCCCTTATAACACACACACACCATATTCCAGTCGACCGCCTCAGGGCACCGAGACGTAGGGCTTTTACCTCCTCTGAGAGGGGCCTGAACTCGTAAACTCGTGTGTGCATCCTCGCCGTAGCTAGGGCATTGCCTCCTCATACGTACCTCCTATTTTTAATGTCAGACTTAGTACCACGACAGGTATACCATCCTCTTTTATCTTAACTAGTGGTTGGGGCGTCATCCAATGGCGCTTCGCTTCCTGAAAGGAAGTTTGTGCGGTGCGAGGTAGGGTGCCACACTTTTCATTGAATTTGAGCTTTGATTGACAACACACATATATGTACAGCTGATGCATTACATACGATGGCTTGTCCAAATTCAGCAAATAAACAAACAATCTTAACACTATATCTACCAGATGCTCCTGTTCATCATGTCGCTGTATTGCAGACTCTAGACTTGTCGCTGCAGTTCATCTACACGTTGAACTAACGCCCTCCGCCGACCCCACCGAGCCGACACTCACCTTCATCATTGCCTACTCGAGGGGGGTGGAAGCAGAATGCTGGTATCTCGTCGACTCAGAATTCTTGCATGCCGTAGTGCAGCCAGTGGTTGAGCCTGCCGCCGAGGTCGACGCTGCTGTGTTGCACTGTCTTGACCAGCAGGAGGACCGCGCTACCCCCATGCACACCCAGATCACCACCAGCCGCAGCAGCTGCCACGTCCGTCGGCTGATCAAGACCTTCCTCGTTGTCTTGCATCATTTTTCTCAAACCTAGATGAATCCCATTTGATTTTGATCAAAACCAACTAATCTATTACATCAGCAAGGAACATATATAGTCCCTCCATCACTTTTTTATGAACGGAGGGAGTAGTAAGTAAGAACTCCGGGAACAAGAAAGAAACAAATTAGGCAAGGCGAATACCGAGAATTAATATCTGGCGAGAAAAAAAAACATAAGAATAAGATTTGGTGGGGTGCAGGGAGGCAGGATTGGCCTGTAACTCACCAACCACTGAATTCGTCCACTCAATGTCTCCCATTCAAATGTGTTGTTCATTATGTATCACCAAAAATCAGAGAAGATTGTCTCGAAATGAATCAAGTAAACAAAATTGGTCTCAATGGAAACAAAAGGACATAGTAATGTATCTATGAGAGTGATGATGATTCTCATTTTTATTATGTGTTATCCCTATGCCAATATCTCTACTAATGAATAACATATAGTACAATTAGTAGCAGTGCAAAAAATTGCGTCACCAACAATGAAGTGCCTAAACCTGTAGAGAATCTGACCAAATTCAGAAACCTAATTAAATTTTTTGAGGCAAAGTTCATGTATTATCTACCAGCTATTTAGGCTCTATTGCATTGGGTGATTAAAATATAGCAACTATCATGTAGCAGCAAGAACTGAGTTTTTTGTTAAACCTAATTAAATTGCACAAAGAGTAATCGTGACTGCGGCCATCAAAGTTCAACTGATAGTGTTTCGCTTTTGCGAGTAGAACTTGGAGCCAAAGCAAGGAAGAGAAATATCTTAACGGAGGAAGAGTCGGCCAACATACTGTTAGAAGCTAAAATAACTGGAAAATATTGCATGCCTGGAAAGTTCATTACCATCATCATAAAGATGAGAACAAATACCTGAGCACTCAATTGGTGAGTGCAATAATCCTATCAGGAGGAAAAAAAATACCATTAAGCAAAGACTCGCATGATCCACTGGTGAGTGCAATAATCCTACCAGGAGCCCTCCCGCTGGCAAAAGCCGAGATCCATCGTGCCTACATGGCTCTAAGGCCAAAGAAGAGGAAGCCACCCTGTGGCGACGCCGATGGGATCGGAGGCGAGAAATCCCTTATCGCCCTGGCAATACGCACAAGGCGAAGGGTACAAGAAAATGGACTATAGCCCATAAATTTTAACAACATCCATCAATGTAAAAAAAAGTATAATTTGATTTTTCCGTGGTGTGATGAAATAAGTTTTAGTACAAGTTCAGTCATGTAAGATTCGTAAAGTTCAGGGCCTCTTTGATTCGTGGGATTTTGAAAACGTAGGAATAGGAAAAGTATAGGGTTGGAGTGGCATGCCCACTTGAATCCTATAGAATTTGCAATGCGTGTCTGATGCCACAGGAAAAATAAAGAAATTATAAAAATATGTTGGAGTGGATGTTAGATTCTCTATGAAATGTAGTATAAAAAATTCCATAGAGAAAATTTCTATGGGATCCAATCCTATGAATCAAATGATCAACATAGAAAAAAGTCCAAAGGATTTCAATCCTCCAGAAATCCTGCAAAATTCCTTTGAATCAAAGGAGCCCTCAAATGGATACGACACTGTTAATCATGTATTTTTTCGTAGTATGTTTCAAAAATCCTGAGAATCAAATAAACCAGTAATACACATCCGCAAGATCGTGTGTTACACTTGCAGTCAACGTTAACTGGTTGCTTCACCAAAAAAGGGATTATTGAACCGTTGAACATACGCAGGGTTGCAGATCGATCGATCGGTTACTCGAGTGAAAACGATCGAGCTCAAGTTGTCAGGCAGGGGCAAACAACTTGGGAGCGAGGTCGAGCAGGGCGTCGAGAGCCTCCGGCTTGAACTTGCGCGCAAACACGGCGCACACCTCCGCCACCCCGCCGTTGTAGTAGCAGTCGCCGTAGCCCCGCCTCATCTCCTCGAAGAGCTCCTCCGTGACCTCGCTGCCGTTGTGGCTCTTTGGGTGCTGCCCCACCGGGTGCCGCCAGTCGGAGTAGGTGACGGTCCGGTTGGCGTTCCGGCTGCCCCAGCCCAGCAGGCTCGCCAGCGTCATGGGATAGTGCTCCTCCAGGTTGCGGACCCCGTGCTTGCCGTTCCGGAACACCGGGCCGTAGTAGGTCTCGTCGGACACCACCTCAAGCGCGAAAGCGCGGTCCATCTCGAACCACTGCGCGCCCTTGCGCCACTGCGCCAGGCTGATGTTCCGCTCGGCGAAGAATTCCCGGTGCCGCGCGCGCCCGTCCCGGCGGTCGAAGCTATCGACGAAGCTGGTGTTGGATCCGGTGAGGTAGGCGTACAGGACCGGGAAGCCGAGGATGGGGATGCACGACTCGGACAGCAGCGCGAACCGCGCGTTGGCAACGTCCAGCAGCGCGTTTCCCAGCAGCCGCCGCTCCGCGTCCATCAGGTTGATATTTCCCCAGCTCGTTCTCTGCATGATACCATAGTTATAAATAGCGCGCTACGCCTCTTTACGACATGCCTCTTTACGACATACCTCTTCTAAACGCTATAGCATTGCTATTTAAAATCTTTATTTATGTGTTTAGATCAAAATTTCTTAACGCAAGACCTTCTGTAAACGCCACAGCTCTCTATTTAAAACCATTAACATGCACACCGTCGGCTATCGACATCGTCGGTTGAGGTCGACGGGGACGACAAATGTGAAGTGTTAGCCGCGTACCTGGCTCGGGATGATGCGGCCGTAGAACGGGGAGTCAGGCGGCGGCGAGCCGGTGTAGTCGGGGCTGGTGTGCACGTAGATGGAATAGAGCCCCTCATGGCCCTCGAAGAACTTGTCCCATAGGGGACGCAGCGGCACGTCCCCCCTCACCAGGAACAGGAAGGCGACCTTGGGAACGATCCCGTGCTTGGGCGTGCTCTTGATCCTCGGCACCATGGACGCCCTCCACATCAGCTCCTCGTCGGTCATGTTGTGCAAGGCGCCGCTGCCACTCTCCATTCTCCGTCTCTCCAATGACGGCGGGGTCGGCTCGGGAGGGGGCAACGACGGAGGCAGGATGCATGGTACAGCTTCTGGCGTTGTCGGTGGCGTTTGCAGCCGAGAGGCAGGCAGCATCAATGGCGACAGGAAGTTGTGGACGTAGAAGTTGTCGAAGGTGACGTTGGAGACCAAGCCTAGCACGTATGCCAAGCAGAAGACGAGCAGCATAGGCACCACGTTCACGCGGCCGCTGCCGGCCGCCATGGGCTTCTTCATGGCCTAATCGCTAGGCTTGGAGCATGCGTGTAAGCTACCGAGAAGTTGATGCTCCTTCCAGTTGGCTATGCTTCGAACGATTAGACCACTAGTACTGCGCTGACATGCGACGTTGAATTCAGCCTTCGTTTATATGCATGTTAGTACTAGCTTGCTCTTGAAAAAGGTGGTAGCTTAAAATCAACTAAACACGAAGATTTGCGGAATTGGACTTGCATAGTGCTAAAACGATAAATTTCTTGAAATTGGCTCGTGCAAGTCTGAAAAGGTTCTCAAATTGGAGTACGATTCCGCTTCAACTTCGAGCTCGAAGGTATGGAGTATGCATGATTATCAATCGGATGTTAGCAAAAGCACATTTTGCATATCCTTCAAGAATTTTTTCGACAAAGGGTGAATTTTATTAGCTCAAAATGAAGCATCAAGAAGAGACATAACACAATAAACGCACACCCGGCCTCTGCATAGCTAGGATGTACATAACCTACACCAACTCACAGACACGAAAAAACACCGACAACAAGCAAAGTCATAGAAAACCAAAGCTATGTGAAGGCGAGGAAAAAACCCCAAAGTGATCAGACTTGTGATCGGCACACAACCATGACCATATCCGCACCAACCATCTCTTGACACCACATGGACAACGAGGTTCTTCAACAGCAACGCCTTCAGGAAGGGAGCGACACTCAGTTACCATCGTCACCGGATCCAACCACAAGGCCAGAATCTAGGTTTTCACCCTGAAGAATCAGTCCGAGCCTATCCAAGCAATGCCTTCAACAAGGTAACAACGTAAAAAACATTGCCACTGCCAGGTATAACCACTCGGGTCTGACCTAGGCTTTCACCCTGGAGCTCAAGACTGGGTGCTCGAGTATCACCATCATCGAAGTCGCTCATGTGTTGTCGCCGCCACTTTTCCACGATCCCAACAGCTACATGCGATGTGACCGCCATCACTACGCAACCATTCCTCTGGGTCAAGCCATCGTATATAATTTGAATCTCACCGCCAAAGAATTAAAACGGAAATCATTATAACCGGGATCTCTTTGCGCCTGTTTGCTATAAAGGTGCGTTTAGTTATCTGCACATCATTATAACCGAGGTCGGGCGTTGCTTAAACGTGACACATTTTATAGCACAAGGTCAATAGCTAGATGAAACTTGAAAATAACACAAGCAAACAGCGAGGAGACGGAAGATCACGGCAAAGGAGACGTGCAAGTAAATTGCGGGAGTGGCTATCCCTAGTTGACTAAATATATATTTTGGCTCTATCGAACCAGGCGATCCAAATCGTACGCCCGCAAAAAGCTAGAAACAACAAGGAGCTCTGACTACTAATTGAGCAGAAAAGAACCGATAAAGTTCATAAGGGAACATCATTCATCATCAAAAACCAACCACATCGGTAACCTCACAAACTCACTCGTCGCCGTCCGAATTGAAAACCCACATGACAAGCTCGAGCCGCCTAGCTAAACAAGATACGGAGCGCAACAACATTTGGCTGCCGTGACTTTCAGATACACGTCGTTGCACGCCCGCTGATACTTCTTCCTTTTTCATTTACTTTACATATTAGATTATTAGATTTGACTGAAGTCAAACTTCGTAAAGTTCGATCAAGTTTATAAAAAAGAATATAAACATTTATCATAACACATCTATATGATGTGAAAGTTCATTCGGTAATAAATCTAATGGTATTGATTTGTTATTGTATATATTAAAATATTTTTTATAAATTTTGTCAAAGTTTACAAAGCTTGACATTGATCAAAGCTAATACACGGACTAGGTAAAAACGGAGGGACTACTATCATAGTCCCGGCATCGACTGCTTGCACCACAAGCCGCATTGGCGCCACACCCCCTTGGACACGACACTTGGGCGAAAAGGGGTCAATGTGTTTGGCTCTATAGAATTGAAATAATTTTGCTAAGTCTCAATCGACTGACAGTTTATTATGTCTCAGTCAATGCTATGGTCCTTCGATTTTGTATGAAGATTCGTACAAAAAATTTCTTGTTAGTTTTTTCTTTTTTCTTCTTATACTATATCACTTGACTGAAACTTGGTTAAGTCTCAGTCGACTGAGACCTAACCACACCCAAATTGAAAAGTAGATTGAGCCGAAAGAAACAAAAATAATTGTCCAATGTACTCTTTTCTTAGCAACTACACCCTCCTTCCTTTTTATAAGGTGTATTTGTTTTCTTATAAAATTTCAGAATGTCATAATTCCTTTTTTAGACCTCCAGGAAAAAGGAAAGTATATCTCTCCTGATTGTCTATATCTCTTCTTGTAGCAAAAAAAGGAAACTATCCCTCTATCGGTTGCATGTATCTTACTTTCCTGTACCAATCGATTTACTTGCTACTAACCTACAAATTTGCCAAGGGTAATTTCGTCCTAACATGTCTATAATTATGTGCCTTGGTTACTGTGTTGAAAATAGTACACCTTACATAAAGGAATGAAGGGACCCACTTGTCATCGGTAATTTTCACTGCCCATATATTTTCCTCACCACTCCTCTTATTTTCGCTGCTCTCTAGACTTGGTGCATCAATTATAACTGGTTCTAGTAAAAAAAACTGAGCACCTCACCCCACAATGTTTAGCACCAAGCTTTGATCAACATTGGCCATGCTCTAAGTCGCACCAACATCCGAGGCCACTACTCCGACATATAATTCAAACTATCCCTTGGGATAGGTCACTGGGCTAGGTTCATCTGGGCTTGCATCTGACATACAATTCAAAGACTGACCAAGGTTTGAGCTAGGTTATCTGACAGGGCTCCTGCACTCTTGAACATCTGCCATCCAAGCCATGTCGCGCGACACATCGGTGTCGCCTCAACCATGCCCACCAATCCACATATACATGAAACACTTTGACACCTGACTACTAGGGAAAAGGCTAGCAGCAACGCGGGTTTTAGGTGTATCAGTAGTGCGGGGAGGGGCGCTACTAATAAGGCGCTACAGCTAACACATAGCAGTAGCGCGTGGTCACCGACGCTACTGCTACACAAGTGTAGCAGCAGCGCGGTTATTGGAAGCTCGCTACTGCTAGTAGCTCTAGCGCGCTTTGCAACGACGCGCTACTGCTATCGCGGCGCTGCTGCCAACTTTTATACACTCGCTACTGCTAATTTAACAAGTTTTTTGTTTTTTTTGGCATATTTGTTTTGTATTTGAACAAGCTTTATAGAAGAATCTTTAGCATATAGAAATGTCATCATGATACACATACAAATGCCTGCGAGACCACAAATGTAATCATAGCATATACATACAAATAGTCTCATCATAATCATCATCCAACACAAAGTGGTCTCTCGCCATCATCTCGAAAATAGCGATATAAGTCCTCGATTACTTGCAAATACATCGTCATCCATCTAAACAATGGTATACGCGAGAAGAGCTATCACTTTGAGTACATGAGTTCGTATCCCTCTCTCGCATTAGCGTGAACCTAAACTAACTATTGCCTGTCGCTCGGAAACCGGAAACCGGTAACACCTGGGCCTGACACTCCGGCCACTCGTCGTATATATACTCCTGGCGTAGCACTTCTTCACCATCGATGATCTATGCACCTGCATCGTCACATGAGTCGATGATATGCAACATATATAGTTGAGCAACAGAAAGAGACAGACTTGACAAAAATAGAAACAACATATCATAAGCATAAATAACAAAGTTCATCGTACCCAAAATGCCCTAACTAGAGTGATCTTCGCTAGTCGAGGAGGACGGTTTAATTACATCATAAATAAAGTTTCACTGTGCATAACTCAAAGTTTTGTCATACAGAAAGTATGGACTAAACAGACACATTGTCATATATCGACAATCACTCCAACATGCCGTGCCATCCATCGAGGTCAGGGAGATAGTCCCCGAGCATAGTGAAAGGCTTCATGTCGAGACGTTGAGAGGCTACCCATGTTCGGACGTCTTCCCACGACATTTGTCCTTCTTCGTAGAACATCCCCGTTTTTCTGACGTCCTCCTTCATGATGATTTGGGCAAGTTCGCGCTGGATGTGATAGAACTCAGCTCGAAGTCGATGATCCTCGATATCTCCTACGTCCTTTGCCCATTGCAGAATATGGGCATCGCCGGATCTAGGTGACATGCGAAGGTTCTGGTGATCCCGTCTGTACTCCAGCATGTGGTGTAGGACATAGAATCCATCATTAAGAGAATCGCTCGGTTGCTGGATGTAGCAGAAGTTGGTCTTATGGGCGAAGGCGACCCTGCCGCCCCTTCTCTTCTTGTCCCTGACCTCTCCAACCCTTGCTTGGTAGTAAAACATAGCACTGTCGAGAACATCCTTGATGTGGGTGTAATCCTTTTTGTGAATGTTCTTCAACGAGTCCAAGTAAAGAGCGTGGGAGAATTGGGGGTATAGGATGATGAGGACGGCGCGCCCGCCGCTGCGCAAAATAAGTACACCTCAAATTACTTAGCCTCCATCGTGCAAATGAGATTGAAATCGAAGGAAGGATAACAGCGCAGATGACTTACACGGGATGATAAGGCACGAGAATCGCCCCCTTGTCCTTATTGGCGAGCATGAAATTGACGATGTATTCTCTCGCGTATACACGGTGCTCTGCGCAGACTCCCAAGAAGCCCTCGTGCATGTAGTACGGGTCAGCGACACAGATATGAGATATCTGCTCAACCCCGATGATGTAGTTCATGTGCAAGGCATAAAGGCGGACAAACGTAAAATCCAGCTTCTTCACGTGAAACATGTCGAATATGTAATCGAATCGGAGGAAGAACTTATCCACGGGGAAGCTGTCGACATACGACCTTTGCCGCGGAACGTTAACCACGTAGAGTGGGTATCCTGGATCTGTCAAGGAGATGAGGCCTTTCTCTACCCGCAGCACATCGTCATGAAGTCTCCTTAGATCGCCGAATCTGGCCTGTAGCGGTGTTGCAGGTAGGATTGGTTGAC